ATGCAATACATAAAACTGACAAAGAATTCATATCCAGAATATGCATTTTTAAAATACCACAAATTAATTTTAAAAACCAAAGTAAAAATCTGTAAAGGACTAAAATACACTTAGAGAATATCCAAATGGTATATGTAACAGCCTCATATAAACCGCGAGATTGACAAATATTAAAATATTTTAAGAGCTGGGACATCATGGTTAGAATCAGGCCTCAGGTGACTCAGAGACTGGTAGAGAGTGGTAGGTAGTAGTAATTTGATTGCATCTTAAAGTGTTAGATGGGGCAAGGAAGAGAATGGAGCAAAACATCGTAACTCTTAGAATTATGCTACTGCCTCAAAATAGGAAGATCTTGAGGGCTTTAGATAATTACAACTATAAACCACATGTTTATCTTATCTGCCACTAATTAAATTCACTATGCATTTTAGTTGAAAGCTGTCATTAGATTCTGAAGTAGGAATTAGAGGCATTGAATACTGTTTCTAATATTAGCTACAGCCATGCCACATTGACAGGTGACCAAGAGTGTAGAGACATTTAGAATTAAAGGCTCACATTCTTGTTGAATATTATGTCACTTTAAGTATCAATGTAGAAATGACAACAAATACCCTTAACAATGGATAGGTGCCTATTCTATTTAAAAATACTCCAAGCACTTCCTTAAACCCTACATTCCATAGTTGTTTCCTTGCTCTATGGATAACACGCAAGAGGGCGAGGCATTGTACGACCACCTCCTTGACGGTTGTGGAATTTTGGCAGCTGTCTCTGCTCACCATGTTTCCCGAGGATTCCTCAGAGCCAAGAGTATCTGCCAAGAGGAATCAAAATGTTGCTGATGACCAGGAATTGGATGTGTTACAAGTGGAGGTGTTCCAGCTCTCCTAATTTGCCAACTCCATTGTTAGGAGTGTGATAAATGGATTGGGTGCATCTGCCCTTGTGAGCTGACAAAGATCCAAGTTGCTTAAAAAATGACAGGAAGCTGCCCTAGAAACAAGAAAATGTATGTAAAGAGGCATTTTCCAGAGATTTCTTCCTTCCTGTTTGTTTGTTTGTTTGTTTGATTTGGAGTCTCACTCTGTCGCCCAGGCTGGAGTGCAGTGATGTAGTCTTGGCTCACTGCAACCTCCACCTCCCAGGTTCAAGCGATTCTCCTGCCTCAGCCTCCCAAGTAGATGGGATTACAGGCGTGTGCCACCACACCTGGCTAATTAGTAGAGACGGGCATGTTGATGAGGCTGATCTCAAGTTCCTGACCTTAAGTGATCTGCCCGCCTGGAGATTTCTTTCTTTCAAGGCAGAAGTGACAGCCCTTTCGTTTAATTGGCCGAGACATGATATCTTTGGAACCATGGAGGGGAAATGCTGCAATTCATATTTCAGGGCCCAGAGTGAGAATTCCAGGAATATTAAGCCATTAGAATTAACATGCTTAAAGTATCCACTTAAGGCTTTTTGATGAGCAACATAGTATTGTTGCAGTTTGAGGACTTTTCTTCCTTTCTTCCTTTTTTTAAAAAAATCTTCCTTTGTAGATTTTCCTTCCTTGGTAACGAGTCATTCAAGGAAACAAATTCTGAACTTCCAACTGTTCAAAGAGAACAAAATCTGTGACTAAAGCTTTAAAATGTTCAGGGGAAAAGTTACACAAGTAATATGCAGAGTTTTTATAACAAACAAAACTAGAAGTTTCACAAAAACCTGTTTTTAGTTTATTTATTTTTACAAATGGGGCCTGCTCTGTTGCCCAGGCTGGGTGTAATGGTACAAGTCATAGCTCACTGCAACCTTAAACTCCTGTGCTCAAGTAATCCTCCCACCTCAGCCTCCCAAGTAGCTGAAATTACACGTATGTGTCATTACATCCAGCTAATTTTAAAATTTTTTTGTAGAGGTAGGATTTCACTATGTTGCCCAGGCTGGTCTCGAACTCCTGGCCTCAAATGATCCTCCCACCTTGCCCTTCCAAAGTGTTGGGATTACAGGTGTAAACTACCACATCCAGCTTCAGTTTTTAGTTTAAACTTAGCTAACAAAAACTAAGTCTTAGTTTAACAAAAATAACTAAAACTGAATCTGTAATCCCAATGTGCAACTATATACATTGCTAATTTTGGTTATAACTTTCCATTTTCTGCTTACTTTTCTGTTTTATTTTTTCCTATATAAAGACATATATGTAATTGTGTGTATGTGTGTGCACATGCATGGGTGCGTGTGTGTGTGTGTGTGTGAAGGCCACCAAAAATAATTTTCATTACTAAATTCAGTGGTCAATCTTTTTTTTTTTTTTTGGGAGAGAGTTTTGCTCTTGTTGCCCAGGCTGGAGTGCAATGATGCAATCTCGGCCCACTGCAACCTCTGTGTCCCAGGTTCAAGTGATTCACCTGCCTCAGCCTCCTAAGTAGCTGGTATTATAGGCACCCATCACCAGGCCCAGCTAATTTTTGTATTTTTAGTAGAGATGGGGTTTCACCATGTTGGTCTTCAATCCCTGATGTCAGGTGTTCCACCCGCCTCAGCCTCCCAAAGTGTTGGGATTATAGGTGTGAGCCACCATGCCCAGCCCAGTGGTCAATTCTTAGCTTCATCTGCCATGACCTGTGAGCAGCATTTGACACATTATGATCACCCTCCTCCTTGAACTATATTCTTCGCTTGGTTCCCAAGAACCCCCACTCTCTGGGCTTTTCTTTCTGTATTACTGACCTTTGTTTTTAAGTGTCCTTTGCTGATTTTCCTTTCCCAAAGCTCAGTTATTCTACTTCTTGGACTCACTGTCTTGGGAATCTCTTTTATTCCCTGGTTCTAAATATCATCATCTACCTGCTGAGAACTCTCACATGTACATCTTGCCTGAGCTTCAGATTTATTTCTCTGTACCTCTACTTGAAAGTCTAATAGGCATCTCAAAGGTGTCCAGAATAGAACTTCCAAATCATAGCAAACCACTCCCCAACTACAAAAAAAGAAGGAAAGAAAGAAAGAAAGAAGGAAGAAAGAAAAAAGAAAGAAAGAAAAAAGAGAAAGAAAGAAAGAAAGAAAGAAAGAAAGAAAGAAAGAAAGAAAGAAAGAAAGAAAGAAAGAAAGAAAGAAAGAGAGAGAGAGAAAGAAAGAGAGAAAGAGAGACAAAGAAATATCTTGGCATCTCATTAAATGGTAACTCCAAACTTCAAATTGCTCAGGTGAAAATTTTGGTACCATTCTGATTCTTCTTTTTCACTGCCACCATATATACAATCCATTAGCTAGCCCTTAAAATACTTCCAGAATCCAACCACTTCTCACTATATCCTCCACTTCTGCACTAGTCCACACCACCATGAACTTTTGCCTGGATCACTACAAGAACCTCCTGAAAGAGTCTCCCCACTTTTGCCTTTGTCCTCTCCAAGACTGAGTGATCTTTCTGAAGCTAAAGTCTGTTCATATCACTCTTGTTCCCATCACACTCCAATGACTTGCCACATGACCCAGACTAAAGCCAACATCCTCACAATGGTCTACTCAACATTCTATGTGTCTTGCTTTTTAAATTTAAAAATATAAATATAGGAAGCAGCATAGTGGCAGTTAAGAGCATGTGGTCAAGGTCAGCTTGCCTGTGTTCAAAGCCTTCTATAAATTATCATCAATAGCTGTGTGGCTATTGCGCAACTAACTTAACCTCTCGGTGCCTACATTTCCTCATCTGTAAAATAATTATAATATCCATATCATAGGGTTGTTGTGAGGATTCATAAATTAATACTTCTAGCATGCTTACAATAGTGCTGAAATAAACATAAAAGTAAAAAAATGACAAAAGGCATTTTATGCTATTAGCAAATATTTCATTATAAATTCTGTGTGTAAGAAAACATGTCTCCAATGGTCCTATCTATAAGAAGTTATAAATACCCCAGATATCTTTCAAAAAGGATAAAAAAAGTTTTGGTTCAATAAATTTAAGATGAACCATCATTTGATTTTTAAAAATTTATTCTGAGTTTAGGATTAGAATGGATTATCCATCATGATTTATGCTTTTAAATATTTTGGTAATTTAAAGCATCCTGACGCTGAGCTCCTTAGATATTCATCTACTTCCTAATCAATAATACTTTAGTTCCTAAAATAGATGTGATTTGTTCTGTTTATCATATAGATTGATTTATAAAGTGTACTTTACTTTTCTGCTTTACTTCTGGACTTACATTACTGTTTAAAATGAAACAATTTGATCTAAACTAATACAATAAACAAAAGCTTAAGGTGTGTTCCTACATAGACGTATGATAGGCACAGTAGGGGGATGAGTCAGGTGGAATTTCCAGCAGAGTCCCTCAGGAATTGCTTTCTGATCCACAGATGAGAAGGCCTTATGCCCACAAGAAAATTTATATAGATTATTAAGTGGAAAGACCTATTTAGAAAGAGGCCAAATATGCATTTGAATGCAAAGGAAGTCACAGTATTTGTTCAGAAAACCAAGAGATAGTCAGGGCTTGTGGAAGATTGGTGAAGCGGTCTTAATTTTGTTCAAGAGAGACTTTTTTGATAGCTGAGTTGAACTTTTAGAATATATGTTGTGACGTTCTGTTAATTGTGGAAAATTCTTCTGGTTCTAAATGGAAGTTTGGTGTAAACTGATCCTGTTGCTGAAACTCTTAAAGGTCTGTAGGGGTGGGCTACTGATAGCTTCGTGGTAAAAAGCAACTTCGCATATTTGCCGACAACAAATGTCTCTCAGGCTCAACAGTCGTGCAGATACTGAGAATTCCTCTGGAAATGTGAGGGGAGAATTAGTACTATTTTGCCTGTGCACTCGAAACAAGGGACACTATTTAGTGAAAATGTACTTGTCAATCACCGCTAGTCTGAAACTTACTATTTCACAGTATTTGCACTAATAAAGAATATACAAATGAACAGTGCCCTTCTAAAATGCCATCATCGTTCATTCTTGTCAAATTACACACTTTCCTTGTTTTCTTTTTTTTTAAAAGAAAATTGGCCCTGAAACACCATCCAGACAAGAATCCAGATGATCCAGCTGCTACTGAGAAGTTTAAAGAAATCAACAACGCCCACGCAATACTTACTGACATCTCAAGGAGAAGCATATACGACAAGTACGGATCGCTGGGACTCTACGTAGCCGAGCAGTTTGGAGACGAAAATGTTAACACCTACTTCATGCTGTCGAGTTGGTGGGCAAAGGTGAATCTGAATTTCCTTTCTTCACAATCTCCTGTAACACCATGATATTAATCACTCTTTTAGATTCCATCTCAAAGGAAGTCTAACCTTCCTGCTATTAAACTCTGGTAAATAAAAGGAGATACTGCTTCCACTGAGTGCTATTATTTAGGATCATTTCTGGTTTAGCTCAACAAATAATTGTAAGATACAACATGATTTAAAATACTTCTAGACATTAATTATATTTGAATTTGGAGCTTCAGATTAACTCTTTATAATGACTAATTAAGGACTGACTCATTGCTCAAAACCAAAAATAATTTATTAGTGTGACAAGTGCTTAATAAATTATTATAGGGCAAATTTAGCCATGTCCTTTACTATCTATAGCATAGGCTACATCAGCAAACACAATACTGGGGAGAATGAGTGGTAATTATGTCAGAGACTCACTTGGAGCCTGCTGTGAGGTAGAGGAGAAAGAAATGAGGGGGAAAATGTGAGAATTTACTAGTGGAGGACAGGGAATTGGAAAGGCAGAGACAGGGGGACAGAGAGCAAAATGGATACCTAGTCAAGAAAAAGGCAACATTTTTAAGGGCTTAGTGCAATCAGAATTGACTTTTGTGTGGTAAATTTTGTTTGGTTTCCTAGGAATCTCTGATATATATATGTTTGGTGATGGTTTTTACTTGTTTGTGAATATTAATATCCTTATCTTCTGATAAAAGTGTATTTACACATAGGTCATACATGTAGTCCATCAACATATTTTGTGGACAGTTCACATTCATATAAGTTCCAATACATAATAATAATTATTAAATATCTAAAAAGGCAGGTTTAATAGTAGTATCTGATTGCTATTTTCTTCCACTAAATCTTGCTAAATTGAGTTTTATGTATGCAGGAAGAGAGAGAATATGTTTTTGTACATCAGCATGCAAAAGGATTCTTGCAACCTAGCCTAATTTGCTTACTATAGTCTTCAGAGTTCTGTTTCTCGGGGATACCTGGGATTCCCATTTGAAACCCCTTTCTTTATTGTTGAAGACTTAGGGGAGAGACAAGTTCCTATTGAGAAGATTTGGAATTTGGAATGAGAGTGTACACACTGACAATGTCATTTATGACACTAGATTGAATGTTCATAGGACCATACAAGCTTTTGTGGGTTTGCTTGGGAACCCAACCTCTGGGCGTGACATTGTTCCATGGGAAGATACTGCAGAGGCAGGTCCAGATAATTACACATATCCATCTGATGGCACATCAGGGCCTGCCTGCATAAAAATGAGAATAAATTTCCTTGCCCTGGAAGCTGACAAAATTGATCAAAATTAATATGAACAAGCAGAATCTGCCCAGTAGTGTGAGAGATACACAACATAATTCCTGGTGTGGTTCTTTAAACATAAGACCACAAAAAACATATCTTTACCTTCTCCTTGTACCAAAGCCCAGTTTCACGGCACCCATCAGAGTGGCCCTGCATGTAGCAATCATGTGTTAAATATGCATGACATGAATGAATCAGTGTACCACAAAGATACATATTTGTAAAAATATTAGACATCTACTTGTGCCTAGTTCTGTACTAAGCACTGTAAGGGATAAAGCAAGGTTATTTCCACAGAAGGCAAACAATCAAGTTGGAATAAAGAACAAAACAGTATATGAATGAAAAGAAAAGTTCAGAGAAGAGAACAATATGGGAATTGCATAGTAGAAACAAAAAAGACAAAAATAACTAAAAAAAGGGAGGAGTTTCGTGGGGCAATAGCTCAAGAACACTGCACAGGAGGGTGTGGAGACAGTGAGGTGGCGGGTGTTGTAGTTGTTTTCAGAGTGATTTACCTAAGACTACGAAAATGTAAATTCTCCGTAGCGAAGAGATTATATATTTGAGGATGTGACTGAAGCTCCCCTACTCCAAGGCACCAGAGTCTCCACCTCACACCTGGGGCCAGAGTCAGAGATGAAGTCCAGGGCTACGAAGCACGAGTGGGGCAGGTGAGGGCTGTCAGCATTAAAGATTTCTACCTGAAGTTATTGAAGAAGTACTCAGGCACACAAGTCCTCTTTATCCCTCTTGCTCCCTTAATTAGATAAAATCTGTGGGTTTTTTGTTTTTCTTAATTAGATAAAATCTAGGGGTTTTTTGTTTTGTTTTGTTTTTTTGAGACAGAGTCTGGCTCTGTCGCCCAGGCTGGAGTGCAGTGGCCAGATCTTAGCTCACTGCAAGCTCCGCCTCCCGGGTTCACACCATTCTCCTGCCTCAGCCTCTATAGCTGGAACTACAGGCGCCACACGCTCAGCTATGTTTTTATATATATATATATATATATATATATATATATATATATATATATATATATATAGTTTTTGTTTTGTTTTGTTTTTTGTTTTTTTTTTTTTGCAGAGCCCAGGCGGTTTCACCGGGTTAGCCAGGATGGTCTTGATCTCCTGACCTCGTGATCTGCCCATCTCGGCCTCCCAAAGTGCTGGGATTACAGGCTTGAGCCACTGCGCCCGGCCAAAATCTGTGTTTTAATTAGAGGTGTATAAACCCCTTTCTTTCTATTTCAAATTGCATATTTTTGATAAAATCATAAATTGATTTTGCTCACTTCACAAAAACTGACTTTTTCTAACTTCACATTGGATGAGTTGAGAGTTTCTTTTAATTTTTAGCTATAACAAACAGCGAGCAAACCTTTTATGTTTTGGGGGAAATCCTGCTGCTGTTCACCAGGCAGAGCAAATAATTTGTCTGTTTATTACTTGATACAATCATTAATTCAGCTGGTATTTTATAAGCATCTAACACATATCAGGTACTAAGTCCTTCAGTAGGAGGAACTGAAAGATGACTAGCTGACAGTGCTAGCTTGCAGGAAGCTCATGGTCTAGTCCAATGAGACAGACCTATAAACTGATCAATGTTCTAAAAATATCACTTAAAAAAAGCACCAAAATAGAAGTCTGCATGAAATGCAATTGGGGACAAAGGAGGGAGTCATTGTTTGGGGCAGGATCAGGAAAGATGTCACAGAAGGGATCTTTAAGATGAGTCTTACACACCAGGTGGATATTTTGTTAGGTGACTGGGGAACTGGGAGGTAGACGTCCAGACAGATGAATCCACAGGGAGAGCAGAGCTATAAGGCAAGGAAAGGCAAGAACAGGGTTGTGCTGGTGCAGGGAGGCATTGGCAGAGCCAGATCACCATCATAAGGAACTTGGCTGTATCTCAGAGGCAGGAACGCCATTGCATGGGTTCAAGAGAACATGTATTTCAGAAAGTTCACTCTATCAGCAATGCGCAGCATGGATTTGAGGGAGGCCAGAGGGAAGGCAGGAAGGTCAGTTGGGAGGCTGCTGAAGTGTCCAGACTAGACATACTGAAGGTCTGTTCTGAAGCCTTGCTGGCCAGGATAAAAGCATGAGGGAGGATACAAGAGACTTGAGGAGAGAAGCTCTCCAGGACTTGGTGACCAGTAGGAATGTGAGTGTAGGAGGGGGAGGTATTGGAAAGTTCATTCTTTATCATTCTGGTGAGGATGATTCAGTTCCTCTGGGCAGGGAGCTTGCTAACTCATTTGACCTGCAGAGGTTTTGTTGGTTGGTTTTTTGGTTTTTGTCTTGCTTTGCTCTGCTCTTAATAATGATCACCATATAGCTTAAGAATAAAAAAAGAAACTCCATACTTTATTACTTTGGCTACAAGTCATTTCCTCTGGGTCTAATTTATTAGGCAAAACTTTACCTGGCAATTGATTTCCAAGGAAGTGAAATCGTTCTTATGTGGAGTAAGGATGAGGGTGAAGATGTGGCCTGTGGAGTGAACGGTGAAGTCTTCAGGTCTCTGGGGGTAACTGGGTGCAGACTTGATTTCATGGGTTCTCCCCTCACCGCATCACCCCTCATCCTCATTTTGCTTTGCCTCTGTTTCCCTAGGCCCTGTTTGTCATCGTTGGCCTCTTGACAGGCTGCTATTTTTGCTGCTGCCTGTGCTGCTGCTGCAACTGTTGCTGTGGGCATTGCCGGTCCAAGTCATCAGTGCCAGAAGAGGACTTCTACGTGCCCCCAGAGGATCTGGAGGCACAGATCAAATCCGACATGGAAAAAGGTGGGGTACAATGAGAGCAGAGGTAGTGAGTGTCCATTCATAGGCCTGAGCAAGCACCAGGTCCCACAGAGACAGCTATCACTATAGTAGGAGAGCTCCCACAACCAAATGGTTGGAACCTCACAGACTGTCAGCTTTGGTACAGCTTCTGGGGAGAATGAAAAGACTGATACCTTTACCAGGCATAGAGAAAAGCAGTCCGTGATGCCATTAGAAAGAAAATCATGAAATATGCTGATGATGAAACAAAGGAAATACAATTCAGGTCTCATTACAAGAGAGTGAGCACTGGATTCAGGGAGGATTGGATGAAAATGCTCAGGACAGGAGAACCAAGGTAGAAATTTTTTGCAGAAAAAGCATTTCAGCTGGTTCCTTTAGGATCCTCTTTGGAATAGAAGGAAGTGGGCATCAAAAAAAGTCACCAACCCTTGACTTTGCTTCTTTTTAATGACTTGATTATGAATTTGGGTGAACTAGGAGAGAGAAGTCCTTCTTTACCTGAAAGGTAGCTTCTTTCAGGAGTAGCCTCAAACCAGCATCAAGGATGGGACTATTTGCTTTGCTAACCCACCTCCGTATGTCCATGTGTATGCATGACTGTGATGTAGTACTTGATTCTTCAAGTTCATTCTATCCAGAAATGAAAAAAATTTAAAAGTTTAAAGAAAGATGAGAGCTCCCGGATTCGCAGCACCAGGAATACCTTATGGCCTCTGGGCAATGCCTTTGTTTAAAGAAGCTGGGGTCAGACCTGCCATTGTCCCGCTCCACCTTACAGCCAAGATCCTCCTGTCATTCTCTCCCCTTGTTCTCTCTCATAGTTATCCTGGAGTACAGACTTCATCACTGAATCCTCAAAAAAAACCTAGACAGCCAAATAAAAGAATTACTTGATAATTCAGACAGTGGCCCATTTTTATCAGAACCGCTAAAATTAGGAACAGTTTACTTTTCTGGACTATATTGTACTCTGATTCTTTTGATCAAACTGAAACGGAAATTCCAGGTCATCTAGCATCAGAGACCAGTTTAAGGCTTCCACACACGTTTTATTCCCTATGAAATGCAGTGCTAAGTAATATCCAGGTATTAACCACCCTGACTCTAGCTCAGAGGAAGGGGTCTTCAATCATGTGAATTGTGCAGACTCCCAGACTCTTTCAGGATTGGGAGCTCAGAGAGGACAGAAGAGGTTTTCTTGAAACCTGGGACCCCTTGCTGTAAGGACCTATAGGTGGCCAGTCCAGCAAACAGAGGTGGTATTCTGACCATTTTTTATTACTGACCTTGACGCCAAATTGTGGGCCCATGGTGAAGCCGAATTATAACTCTCCTTTCCTTCATTTGAGATATAAAAGGACAAATTAATCTTTTAATGTGGGCATATACACCAAGAAGACCAAGCAAGCAGGATTACAAGTAAATGGGTTAAGGAGTAATGTATGCATGGAATATCTGTTTCTTCAGGAAAAGGTCCGTGATGTTGACACAGCTTGCCTAAGAATGACAATCCTAGGGTCTGAATCCCATCTGCTCTTGTGAAGGAGAGAAACTGTTACAAGACTATGTCAGGGATTGCTAGCCCCATAGACCACAGGATCTCCCATAACATCCATCAACCCAGCCCAGTACTCAGTCACTGACAGAGGACCAGAAGAGACAGCAAGATAGGGGAGTATCTTCACCATCCTCCACTGGGTCAACCTAACTGAACTTTTCCTTTACAGTGGGAAAACCAAACCTAGGTGAATTGAACTTAGTCCTTCCTTTACAGGAAACAACTCCAGGAATTGAACTGATATCCCCAATCCAGTGTTTCACACTTCTCTGAACAACCTCAGTCTTTCCTGTTTAAAATTAGATAAAAACTCCACCAGGTCATTTCAGTAGACCTTCTTTGTGGAAGATTTCTTTTTTGGAACAGAAATCCATACTAGGTGCCAGATTCCACCCAGATTTCCTCCCGGCTGGGTGATTGGTGATAAATCTACATGTCTCTCACTGTGCTCAGCTCTGACACCCCAGAGCTACCAATTCCATCACAGAGGTCAGATCTTGGACAAAGTAAACCATGATCCTGTTTGACTATGTTATTAAGAATTCTTAACCAAAAGGAAAAGCTTTATCTTATTTCTAAATATTTAACAGCTCATATGCAGGGATCCAGATTTTGTGGGACTTGAAATTTACACAATTTGGGCAAACCTCTTTAAGAAAAAGAACACAAAATTAAATCTGAAAGTGAATATATATTTAGAACGAGAAAAAGAAATTACAACAAATTGCAAGGCTTAAATACTTAAGGATACCATAAATGTCACAAAATCTAGAAAAATAGCAATTGTTTAATTAACTCTCTGGTACACCTCTGCAATATGCTTCCCCTGAGGTTTTGTGGCTACACATCCATTGATTGCTTCTTCATATTAAGATAGCAATAATTTTGTAGTATTTTCTTTTTCTTTTCTTTTTCTTGAGATGAAGTCTCTGTGTTGCCCAGGCTGGAGTGCAGTGGAAGATCTCGGCTCACTGCAACCTCTGCCTCCCGGGTTCAAGCATTTCTCCTGCCTCGGCCTCCTGAGTAGATGGGACTACAGGCATGTGCTACCACACCTGACTAATTTTTTGTGTTTTTAGTAGAGATGGGGTTTCACCGTGTTAGCCAGAATGGTCTTGATCTCCTGACCTCGTGATCCTCCTGCCTTGGCCTCCCAAAGTGTTGGGATTACAGGCGTGAGTCACCACGCATGGCCATTTTGTGATATTTTCTATGAAAAAAGAAATAGAAAAATCTGCCTTTCCTCTAGCATGTTTGATCAAAAAGTTTTATTACTGGTAAATTAGAAAAGTTTATTTCAGCTTTATGACTCATTATTGATAATGTTGTCTACATTTTTAGGGATTGTTGTCAAATTCAGGAAAACACCTATATAATTTATTTCATATAGAAGATGTAAGATTTGGAGGAATTTTCCACAGAACACCTTTGATTTTGTACATTTCAAACCTTGTTGTCCTTACTCCATCTAATACTCCCAGCATCAGAGCCCAGTGGACACATTCACATTGTGTAACATCACCTCTGGTTTAGATTTTCATGTCCCCTCAGCAAGTGAATTGGCACAGTGAGCTGTAGGAGTCTACCTAAAGCCATTTCTGCACTCGTAGGGCTAACAGTAATTAACTACACACAGAGTTGCAAACCACAAAAACATATCCCACTAAATTCAACTGAAACCTAACCCTAACTCTTTATCCCCTTAATCAAATCCCCAAAATGTCTACAGTTCCTTTGTTGCCATTCATCAGACAGAGAAATGTGACAGAAGGGAAGTTAAAGTGGAAAGAGATGTTTTTGTTGATTGTGGCCAAATATCTTTCTTTTTTTTTTTTTTAATTTATTTATTATTATTATACTTTAAGTTGTAGGGTACATGTGCATAACGTGCAGGTTTGTTACATATGTATACTTGTGCCATGTTGCTGTGCTGCACCCATCAACTCGTCATTTACATCAGGTATAACTCCCAATGCAATCCCTCCCCCCTCCCCCCTCCCCATGATAGGCCCCGGTGTGTGATGTTCCCCTTCCCGAGTCCAAGTGATCTCATTGTTCAGTTCCCACCTATGAGTGAGAACATGCAGTGTTTGGTTTTCTGTTCTTGTGATAGTTTGCTAAGAATGATGGTTTCCAGCTGCATCCATGTCCCTACAAAGGACACAAACTCATCCTTTTTATGGCTGCATAGTATTCCATGGTGTATATGTGCCACATTTTCTTAATCCAATCTGTCACTGATGGACATTTGGGTTGATTCCAAGTCTTTGCTATTGTGAATAGTGCCGCAATAAACATACGTGTGTACCATATGACCCAGCCATCCCATTACTGGGTATATACCCAAAGGATTATAAATTATGCTGCTACAAAATATCTTTCTTTTGCAAATTACAAAAAACATGAATACATCGTTAGGGCCCCAATAGGCCCTTGGAAGGCTGTGCACAGGTGAGGATCCTTGAGCTTAAGTTTTATTAACTATGCAGTAAATCCAGCACTGTTCTTGGATCTACCCTTTTCTTTTAAGGAACTGCACCTTATTTGCAGTTAGTTGTATTAGCTAGATTCACGTTTGTACTCCACTAACCCAGAGTTCAGGCTGGTTAAGAATGAAAATCAGACTTCATCTGAAGACTAAGCTTTCTGGACTGTGGTCCATTAAATGGACTGCACTTGCATCCGCTCTGCAAAAGAAGGGAACCCACTTAAGGTTCTTTAAGAAAATACACTTGAAAGAGTCTACTAGCCACTTAAAAATCAAGTGACTCAAGACAAAGAATAAACAGCATTCATCAAGGTTTGAATCCATCAGAAAGCACTGGTATGACATTAGGGCTTTAAGAATCTTATTTTAGTGATTCTAAAACTTAATTAAAAAATGGCAAACTTTTTCTTACTTGGGGAATCCTTCATTCTTAAGTAGGATTTAATCATAAAATCTTAGGATTTTAGACTTGGGAGGAATCTGAGGAATCAACCCTCACCTCTGCATGGCTTTTCCAGCCAGCTGCTCATTTGAAAGCTGCCTGTGGTGGGGAGGTTTAGGACTTTGTTTATAAGTAAGAGATGCCCATAAAAATTCAACCACCAAAGGAGGGCGTAGAGTCCACATTAACTCTACAGTCCACCCTCAGGCACCACTCAAGGATACCAAAACACAATTACATTTACACAATTTTTGTGTAAATTTTTTTTGTTTTACAAAAGTGTGGTATCCACATATTATTACGCCCTTTTCCTGCTTCTTTGCAGAGGAAAATTTTGATGAAATCATATTTATCAGTTCTTTTTAAATTGATTGTGCTTTATTTTGGTGTTATGTCGAGAACTCAGACTACCGTTTGTCATAAAGACTTCCTCCAATGTTTTCTAAAAGTTTTTGAGTTTTATGTTTAACATTTAGATCTATGACCCATTTTGAGTTAATTTTCATATA